TGCTCCATTTCACATGAAAGTTGTCAAGGATGCTTGCGACACTAACACGAACATATACAAAAATAATCAGAATTTTTTACCAACATCTACTATTTTTTCCGATTACTGTACACGAAGGAGCATGTGCTCCCAAAAGCCAAAACGCCCCTGCCCTTATAAGCAAGGCTAACATCACAAAACAAGGGCACTTTTTGATCCCGACCGGTGATTTTTGTGTACCACTCTGCTTCTTTGTCCATGAATCCATCCTCGTCCAACTCATTCGTCGGGCCTTCATCATTCGAGTAATCCACACAAGCACGCTGATAGATGACGTCAGGGTCCATGTCCTTATGTCTAACTTGGGCCTCTATGTCACCAAGAATGTTGGAGTGCTTCTCATCCTCTTGCTTGGAGTCATGACCATCGTCATTGATCGGTGCTCCACCCTCAAACTCATATTGGGGATACACATTGATATAATCAACTTGTTCGTTGCCATGCTGAATATCTTTCACCTCACATTCATTTGATTGGCTAATGGGAGGGTGGCTCATTGCATTGGCGACTTGCACTTCAAATCTTTGCTCAACAAGTGGCGACACACTACTAATCGGGCTTATACAAGGTTTGGTTCAAGTTAACATGAAAGAGAGGAGCTCTGACCGCCTTAGTAGCAAACACTTCGAGTGATTTGACGTCCGAAGATGCAACAACCTCCTTATATGCACCCCATTGCAAATTGGACTTGATAGGCATCATCTTAATTCGACACTTGTGTCCCCTCCCAACATCATATCTTCCTACTAGTTCAACTTGGTCACTTGCATACATCCACTTTAATCTAATCGGTGTTTCTTCCACAACCTCATCATAACTAGGATTCTAAAGAAATGTCAACACTTTTATCAACATTCATAATTGTCGTTTTGTCAACATAATGAATATTCACAATCCTCCCCATCTAAAAAACAATGGCACCATAAGCAACAAAGGAGCAATGTAAAATTTAACACATTGAATATAAAACAACCTAGAACAATTTTGTTCATCCAAATTAAGCATTACCCAAATCCTAACATTAAGCAACCCAAACCCTAAGCTTTGTTCATCCACATCAGAAATCAACACTACTGGACCAACCATACTCATTAGTAAACACTACAAACATCATATTGTGGAACAATGTTCAAAACCGGGGTTAGGATCCACATGAACAAAACAATCCAAATACACAAATCCAACCATTAAAAATTTGTGATATGAAGGAGATTACCTCAAGGAACGGAAATGACACTGGATCCATAGACCAACACAACCGATTTGCCATGATTTGAGTGGGTTTAAGTAAAGAAGACAAACGGGAAAAGGGGCAAGAGCTCGGGATGACTAATGGGGGAGAAAAACGTGAGTGGTGAGTGGTGGGTCAGAGCCCCACGGCCACTTAAAATATCTAGGGCAGAATCGCCATGGGCTATGGCGTGTTTGGCGTTTCCAACCTGCCACCAGCAATGCCAACACGGCCTGGCCGTGGGCCAGGGCGGTAACACGGGCTGGTTTAACGTTTCCATGTTCACCAAAAACTCCACGTTCCCTGACGTTTCTTAAAAGGGTCAGATTATGAATAATTTCGTGAGGAGTTCATTTTATGCTAAAGTGTTACCACAAAATCAAAACAATGATTTTGGCCCGGTACAATCACTTGTATCTCTGTCTGTTCTAAGCGTTTCCTGCACCAGCACACAAAACTGCAGCTGCAACCTAGCATACCAATCACTGAAATGTATATAACTGTACATATGATTGAGGTTATACTAAGAAGACAAGTGGGAATCTTAGGGTGGGTGTGGAAAACGACAAATTATTTCTGCATGATTTCCGAGAAATGAGACCTAGACCAAAGACAATTGTACTTTCCCATCAGACCTAGACCAGAGACAATCTGCATGATTTCCGGGAAATTATTTCTACTTACTACTTGTACTTTCCCATCAGACCAGAGACACTTGTACTTTCCCATGGTCACGGGTTTGCATGCCCAAAGAATGTGGTGGCTTGGGGATCTTGAATGAGAAAAAGTCACTATATGTTCTATTACTTACGCTGGCACCAGGTTTAGTCCCTGTGGTTACAAATACCCAAAATACAATCACCAAACTTGCTCTAGGGGGTCATGTACAGTTCATTCGGTTTTGTGTACGTATGTGTTGAGCTGGATCTAGTCAACCGATGCCAAGCATGCATAGACTGCCACATGTGCCCAGCTCGCTCGAATACGCATGCATGTAGGGGTCTTTTTGCAAAACTGCCAATTATTAAAAGATACGGTGCATCAAATCTATCTGGGCCATTCATTTCTATCGCTTGGAGGGCCCAAATAAGCCAATACTACAATAGATTTTCGGCAGTATATTGACTCATTAGGGTCATTTTGGGTACTCTAATGTTTATTGATCTCCTTCCTCGACATGGCGCAGTCCATGCCGTCCAGTTCTTTTGGCCAGATGACGCACAACGAAAACGATGAAACGAAGCTCATGGTATTGGTTCGTACTTCAAGCTGGGCTGTACCGCACATGCACAATGACATAGAAAAGCTACGTTAATAGACTCGCCGCCGGCCGGATGCACAAGCACGTCACACGTACGCAACAATCAGATGGCGGCTTCCTCTTGCGCCGCACCCGCGGAGCCGCTCCAGCAGCCCAAGGGAGCAGTGGCGACGAGGTCGCACACGCAGTTGCTCGTGCCTCCGCGCAAGGAGGCTGACGGAGTGCACCGAGGTGTCAGACGATGTCGTCCGCCGCTGCAGGCTGCCGTCGCACCACGCCTGTGCCGCCTTGCTCGCCATCGCATTATCTCGCTGTCGCTGCTCATCCCGTTTTTGCACCGGCGCACTGCATGGAGACTTTGCAGCAGCGAGGCGTCGCGAGTAGCGGATGAACGGTGCCGCGTCGAATCGGATGGGTAAATTTAATTTATTAGAATTATTAATTGTGATTAGAACTAACAAAAAATAAATCTATCTCCAAAGAAATTACCCATATGTCCTAGCGTGAAAATTTGACCGATCCATACTGGCCGTTGGATCTAGCAAATACTACCCATCACAGTAGGTAGTATGATGCACAGTAAAAAATCTCGTGAAAATAATACTCTTGTCTTGACTCTTGACCATCGTCCGCTCAGCCAGCCATGGGTTCGTCTCGCAGGCGCGCGCTCCTCCTACTCCTCGCCGTCCTCCTCGGGTCCTCCTTGTGCGCCGGCTCCGCCGCGCCGCAGTCCGCCAGCACCGGCCCGTACCCAACCAGCCCCGCGCTGGCGTTCGCCACGGCCGGCGCCTGGGCGTTACATCGACGGCGTGAGCCGCCCGGGGGTCGCGCACGTCTCCGGGCCCGGCGCGCCCGCCACCTGGCACACGTGGCCCCACCACGCCTGCGGCGCGAAGGCGCCCGGCACCTCGCTGGCGGCGCAGGGGCGGTAGGACAGGTCGGTGCGGTAGGGGCTGCAGAGGAGCGGCCCCGGCGGGCCCAACTGGTTGTAGTTGAGAGGCGGGCCAGAGCCCGGCGGGCAGGCGTTGGCGTTGGAGACGTTGGCGAGCATGTCGTTGAGGGTGGCCACCAGCTGGTGGTTCACCTCCTTGCTCCGGCGCAGCGCCTCCGAGGTCGCCGCCGCGTCGGCGCACGGGAGGATGTCGTCCAGGGCGATGCTGTTGTTGCTGTCCGGCGGGCGGAGGACCCATTCCTCCATGGCCACGCACGTGTCGCCCACCGTGCTGAAAGACACATGAGCAGACGTTCCTCTGTCAGTTACTCTGCTGAGCTCCGGATTGCAGAATTCAGACAGAAATATATAAATAGGGCTCAAAACAATATAGCACACATATTCTCCTTTCATTATAATTGACACTTTTGGATATGACTTTACTAGCTTTCTCACTTTGGATATGAGGCGCAATTTTTTTCATGCATTCCAATATAAATATGGTGGTTAAGATACTAGTTACATATAAATTACAAAAAAGGGCAACCTGGTGCATGTAGCTCCCGCTTGCGCAGGGTCCAGGGAAGGGTCCGACCACTTTGGGTCTATAGTACGCAGCCTTTCCCTACATTTCTGTAAGAGGCTGTTTCCAGGACTTGAACCCATGACCTCATGGTCACAAGGCAGCAGCTTTACCACTGCGCCAAGGCTCCCCTTCAAGTTACATATAAATTACAAAGTTAGTTTTTTATATAAATGTTATACTAGTAATTATCCATACTTTTTTTATTACAGAAATTACAAAGTTAGTTTTTTTTTTTGTTCTTATGGGAATTGCTAATTTTTAGTTGACTGAGTCACCTAGAATTGCAAAGTCAAGAAATGTATATTTTTTTAATATTCACCAGAAAGTTAAGCATGCATGATTTAACCAAAATCTCAAGCAACATTTTAAAAAGAGACAATTTGTGACATCATAATCCATATGTCTTTGTCCTAACGAAAAATCTCACCAAGGCCCAGGAACGCCAGCACCAGCATCACGGCTGCGACGCCGATCAGGATCTTCCTTCTGCAATCAGCCAATCACACACCAAAAACATCATGATCAGTTAATCAGTCCATGGCCTGATCGAATCGATCGGGTCGATGGATGTTTATACGATACTACGTACGTGGTGTCCAGCACGGTCCGGATCTTGCGCGCGTTGCTGGCGGTGCGCACGGCGAGCTCGTCGGCCGCGGCGCCCACCCTGTTCGCCACCTGGTCGACCTTGACCCCGAGGTCGCGCGGCATGCCGGCGCCGCCGGACGCCTTGGCCGTCTCGATGAACCCGGCGAACCCCCGCAGGCAGGCCGCCGGGCTGTCCGACTGGCGCACCACGTACCGCAGCGTCGCCGACGTGCTGCCGTCTAGCTTGGCCTGCCCGTCGTACAGCACCGCGCACCCGATGTTATGCTTACACAAACTCCGACTGGTCAGCTTAGTTCATGGGCTCGGTTTCCATATGGTGAAGGAATGGGGATTTTGAGCTTGCTTACATGGCGGTGGCGGTGAAGGCGAGGAGGAGGAGGAGGGAGGCGGCGAAGGTCTTGCGCGAGTAGGAGTAGTCGTCGTCCCTGGTGGGGCTGCCGCGGCAGCACCGGCAGCAGCAGGCCACGAGCGCCGCCAGAGCGAAGCCGACGAGCCAGACCGCCGCGGCCGCGAACGCCGGCGCCGCGCTGAAGGCCACCGACTGCAAGCAGCATGCATCGACGGTGAGCACGAGCGCAAGCATGAGTGCAAGCCTAGTAGGTCAAGAACGGGTCGACTTACGGCGATGTAGTGTCGGTCGCTGATGTTCCAGCCGCTGGCGTAGGGCCGGTGCCCGTCGAGGGGGTCCTTCCGGCGCGTCCGCTCGGCCGCCAGCGGCGCCGCGGAGCCGGCGCACAAGGAGGACGCGAGGAGGACGGCAAGGAGCAGGAGGACTGGAGGAGCGCGCGCCCGTTAGTGAACTTTTCTTATCTTTTAATAACTGGCAGTTTTGCAAAAAGACCCCTGCGTGCATGCATATTCGAGCGAGCTGGGCACATGTGCCAGTCAATGCACGCTTGTCATCGGTTGACTAGAGCCAGCTCAGCACATACGTACACAAAACCGTATAATAAACCGTACATGATCCCTAGAGCAAGTTTGGTGACTGTATTTCGGGTATTTGTAACCATAGAAACTAAAGTTGGCGCCAGCGCAAGTAATTAATAGGACATGTAGTGAATTTTTCTTATCATGAATCTCAAATAAGAAAAATTCACTACATTCTGTAAGCCTGGGAGTATTTGTAACCATATTTGTAACCATATTTGTAACCATTTTTCTTATCATGAATCTCAAATGGTGGTAGACACCATTCTGTAAGCGAAGCGAAGCGCACCCCCGCCTAGCGGTGCGCGTCCCCGCCGGCGGCCACTCCGGCCCCGACGTCCACCTTCCCCTCCCTCGCCGGTGGCCACCCAGGCCTCGGCGCCCACCTTCCTCGCCGGCGGCCACCCGGGCCCCGGCGCCTCCCTTCCGCCTGCTTCGTTTCCGTGCGGGATTCGCCATGGCCTCCGGCTCCGCTAGCCCGGCCTCGGTTTCTTCCAGACTCCAACCCATCGTCTCCGGCCTGGGGTTGTCTGCGTCGTCCGACTCGGGGGAGCGCTCGACTGGGGCTGGAGGCGCGCCAGCTGGGGCCTACCCTGGGCCTGCCGCGGGCTCCGCCATGCCGTGGCGCAAGCCTGGGCCTTCGCGCAAGGCGCTGTGGCGCAAAAGAAAGGCCTTTCGTAAGCAGCAGGCGGCGGCGGGTGGAGTCTGGTCACGTTCGTCGCGTTCCCCGGCTCCGTCGCCGGAGCGGAGGGAGATCCCGTCGGACCTGTTCGGTCTCTGCTTCAGTTGCTTTCGCGAGGGCCATCGTCGGGAAGATTGTTGGTTCCCTCCGCTCTGCATCCGGTGCGGCCTAGAGGGTCACATATCCACGGATTGCAAGCGGCCTCGGAGCCCCAGGTCAGAGGAAGATCTCCGGCGAGATGCGGTGGCTAAGGTAGCGCGTGCGTCGCAGCCGCTGATGCAGGCCGGACCTGCGAACAGGCTGTCGCCGGCGACTAGGCAGGCCACTCCCTTGGAGAGGCCCTCGTCGGTCCCGGCCGACACCGCACCTGTGGGGTCTGGGCAGGCTTCGGCTGCCGCTGCTGCTACCGGGAGTATCTGCGTGCTTCGCCGGATGCAGGAGACGGAGGATCTCGAGCAACGTTTGAGGTTGGCGGTGGTTGCCTATGTGGGAGGAACACGGCCTGTGGTGTCTTGCCAGGAGGCGGCGGAGGCCTTGTCGGAGGAGTTGCGCATACCTCGCCATCGTTTCTCCGTTCATAAATACCACCCGGAGGATTTCTTGATTGTTTTTGCGGCGCCAGAGTTGCACAACAGAGCTTTGGCGGCGGGCACCATAGAGCACGGGTTCTTCAAGCTGTTCGTCAAACCGTGGCTCAAGCAAGCTCAAGCTGTTACGAGAGTGATGCGCACTCAAGTGGACATTATGATTGAGGGGATTCCTTCTCATACGTGGACGACTGAGACGGCGGCGGAGATTCTTGGCACGTCATGTCTGGTGGAGAGCTTAGTGCCGGAGACAAAGAATAGAGAGGACTTGTCCCTCTTCAAGCTTCGGGCATGGTGCATCGACCCGGACGAGGTGCCGGTGGCCAAGCGTATCTGAGTGCCGGAGCCGGAGGTGTTTGGAGGACCGGCGGCGCGGCGGCCCACGTCGCGTGCCCTGCTAGAGTACAAGACGCTCATTCACATAGGGCGGATGTGAGATCATGAGGGGCCGGAGCGCTGGCTGCGGCCGCCGAGTTCTGATGGGAGTGGCCAAAGCGGGATGCCGGACGACTCGGAGGACTTCTCCGGCCGGGGTGAGTGGCGTGTTTTGCCGTGGACAAGGGGAGTTCGTGATCACCGTGGTGGGGCGCCGGCAAGCGGAGTGCATGGAGGTTCCTATCTCCATGCGCTGACGGGGCGCATCGGGCCGTCTGAATGGAGAATCCCGCCGATGGCGCGCGGCTCGGCGGTGACGGTGCGCGCACCGGCGATCGCCACCGGGACTACGGCGTCGGGAGCGAGACGTGAGGTTGAGGAAATTGCTGCGTGTGTGCCGCCAGCAGCGCAGCGGGAGGTTGAAGATACAGCCGTTCGTATGCCTCCAGCGACGAGGCTGGCCACAGAAGATCCGGGTCGGAGCTGTGGGGCCATGCCTACGTCTGAGGCTGCGGTGGCTGATTTGGTGCAGCGGGTTCCGATTGGGTCGTTTGAAACGGCTTTTGACCAAGGAGAGTCTGGGGGTCGCGCGGCCACTAATGGAGGATTGCAGCTAATGATTGATTCTGGGCCCTCTGCGGATCCCGGAGGAATAGATAAGGCTCTGGAGGATACAACATTGGTGGATCCAAATCAGGCTTGCTCTGGCGCGGCGCGTGTGGACGCGGGTTTGCTGGACCGGCCGGTGGGGGCCGCCTCAGACCAGTAGGCAACGGAACCCGAGGTGGAATCTGTGAACTGTTCCCATGTGGCGTTGCTGGCCGACAAAGCAGCAGACGGGTGGGCCCCGGTGACAGATTTGTTGCGGCCAACGACAGAGGAAGGGGAGGTGGTTCCAGGAGGTGGTTCGTCGGACTGCGGACCCACGCCATAGGAGATGGGGTGCGCTGATGTGATTACGCCTAGCGCGTGCATGCAGGAGCCGCTGCATGGCGCTAACGACGCGCTGGCTATGGCTTGTGTGGTGGCAACGCAGCACCAAGAGGGACACCTCTCCGCCAAGGAAATTGTGGCGTTGGGTAACATCAAAGCCTTTTGTGCGGGCCTTCTCAAGAAACTTGCACCACCTCTTCTCAAGGAGTTCGATGGACTAAGAGGAGTCAAAGCGGGCCAGGACCCATTCACACCGCGCCGCACTACCCGGTCCATTTGCTCTGGTGGAGCCAGGAAGACGAAGGCATCGGCTGCAGAAACGGTGTTGCTGAAAACCCTGGGGTTTGACTGCGATGATCTGGCGGTATCCGAGGACGCGCTAGGTCAGCTACTTACGGTCTTTGACTCGCCGTTACAGGAGCCGCAGTTGAGGGCTATAGCGGCCATCTTCGGGAAGGCAATACCGCTAAATCTAGCGGGGGAGACTGGGAGGGCTGAACCCCTTTTGGCGCAGTAAGGCGTCGGCAGCCGTGGTGTTGGAGTCATCATTGCCTGATGTCGTGCAACGCCTTGGAGTTAGTGTGCTGGAATGTTAGAGGTCTTAACAATCCAGCCAAGAGGAAGGCTCTTAGAGGGTTCGTGGAGTCTGTCCATGCGGCGATCGTTTGTATTTTAGAAACTAAGTTAGAAGTGGTGGACAAGTATGTAATCTTGCAATGCATGGGACCTAATTATGATGGTTTCACTTACTTACCGGCGTCGGAGACTAGAGGAGGTATTTTCGTGGCTTGGGACACCACGAGGGTTCGGTTGACGAACTACGTCAATGACTCTCATTGCATTACTGCGTATGTCTCGCCTATTGAGGGGACACCATGGTGGTTAACAGTAGTATATGGGCCACAGGAGGACGATCAAAAGATTAGCTTCCTGAATGAGCTATCGGAGAGGAGATCGCTTAGTCCCGGGCCGTGGCTTGTCATTGGTGACTTCAACCTTATTCTCTACGCGGCTGACAAGAACAATTCCAACTTGGATTGGAGAATGATGGGGAAGTTCAAACGTTTTGTCGACATGAACGCACTTAAGGAGCTTTTCTTGCATGGGCGTAAATTCACTTGGAGCAATGAAAGGGAGACACCCACCCTCACTAAGATCGATCGTGCGTTCGTATCCGTCGACTGGGAGATCGAGCACTCGGAGTGCCTGCTTCAAGCTTTATCCACCGAGTACTCGGATCATTGCCCTTTACACCTCACGCTTCAAGAGTCCATGCACATTAGGAGGAGGTTCTGCTTTGAGAAGTTTTGGGTCAAAATGGAGGGTTTTCTTGATGTAGTCAAAGAGGCGTGGACATGTGATCCGAATATCACCGATCCTTTCTTGCGGCTTGATATCTTGCTTCGTAACACGGCTAGAGCTCTTGCCACATGGGGTCAAAAGGAGATAGGAAATATCAAGCTGCAAATAGCCATCGCAAATATTGTCATCATGCGGTTCGACTGTGCTCAGGAGAATCGGAGGCTTACGGAGGAGGAGCGATGGCTTAGAAGAACCCTTAAGCAGCTTGTGCTAGGGTTGGCCTCCCTAGAAAGGACCATTGCTAGGCAAAGGTCGAGGATAACATGGCTACAAGAGGGGGATGTGAACACGCAGTTGTTTCACTTGGTAGCGAATGGGAGGCGTATGAAGAATTACATCCCCTCTCTGCATATGGACGGTCGTATTATCACAGATCAGAAAGGAAAGGAGGAAGCCTTCTACAATGCTTACAAAGAGCTGTTGGGCAAGGATGTGGCACGAGATTTCACCCTGGACTTGGAGGGATTAGGAGTCGATCACATAGATCTCTCTGAGCATGACAGAGTGTTTACTGAGGACGAGATTTGGGCTGTTATTAAGGACATGCCCTCGGACAAGGCACCTGGACCGGACGGGTTCATTGGATTGTTCTTTCAGAAAGCTTGGGACGTAATCAAGGTGGATCTCATTGCCGCGATTCACAAGCTTTTTGTTGGTAACGGAAGGGGTTTTGGGAGGTTAAACCAAGCTTTGATCACTCTTCTGCCAAAGTCTCCA